GCGATGAGGTCGTCTGCGCAGCGCCCTGCGACCCCGATGATTACTTGCTGACCTTCCGTCCGTCATGCGACGGACATCTTCAGAGCGGTACAGCATGCTCAACGAGAACTCACCCAAAACACGAAGGCGGTGCGCCGGCAACCTAATCGCGCCAGTCTGCAACCACGGCTCCATGGCAACCACCCGCCCCCACAACCTCCGGTATCTTCAAACGAAATGAATGTGCTGCAACATTGACTTCCATTTCGAGTGAAAATGTTTGCTGGACAGATTCGAACTTCAATGTCACCAGAACTCAACGGTGGACTTCTGTTGACCGGGCTCTGGTGGAACATTCTTGCCGACGCTGTCTCCGAGGCAATCTCGTTCGAGTCCGGTGAACACGTGCAAAGTTTCTGCACAACTTGCGTCAACCAAAGCTCCACTTGCAAATGATCTGCTAGCCGCAAAACTAGCCTGTTTTTGCTCACCACTATTCTCGAGGCAGAGCATTTGGCAAGATTACAGCCTCGACTGCAGACCGGCATTTTCCGCTTCCAACCTGAACGAGGCAGCAGTTTTATTTACATTTCAAGAATTAATTAGGCTTGACGTGCCCACTTCACTGAGACTCGGGCGTACTTTCGGGTTGCCGCGCACAGGCACGACCGGCGGCCAGTGGACCCTTTTGATCCCGAGCCAGCAGAAGCTGGGCTTAGGCGTGGGCAAAGATGTGTCTACTTTGGGCACAATGTTTCCCGGTGACTGGTCCGGCCCACGGCAATAACTAACAGCCTCTTAGTGGGCCATCATTGCTTGACCCGGAAACGCTACCGACTGACCTCGTCGGAGTGGCCGGCTCAAGAGGAGACGGGCAAACTGTCATCGTCCACGCTTACTCTCCTTTTTCCCCCTTTTTCTGCTGCCTCACTCCCTTCCTGTCAGATGGCGAATTCCCCCACACCAGCGCCTTAATTGCCCTCGACTAGTCGGGTTTAGGCTCAAGAGAGACTAGTCCGATCGGCCGGTCTGTCACGACGCAAATCACTTCGGCCGAATCCCCGCCGCCGATAGGCACTCGTGTGTGGACACACGCTGTGAGGCTGTGTTTCGCCAACACGACCGGATGCATTTGTTCTGTACCGCTATTGCAAGCAGAATCGTGTAGATGTGAAGAAAAAGTGGGTTTCGAACAATCCCTTGAGGCTAAATTGTAGCATCACTTTCCATTTCGAAATGCCTGATATCGTCTCATCCGAAACGGAAGGAGGATTGTCGCAAAGTGACGATTGGCGGATTTTAAGAACAAGTCATAGGTTCACCGTCCCACGAGCTTGTGTCTGTAGCGCAAAAATATGCTTAACCAAGAACAAAGATGGCCGGCTGCAACATAAATACAACATTTTTCGTATGTAAGTAGCTTTTAGAGACTACGAGTAAATCACTAATATGAGATGTATTCACCCTATTTCGTTTAAGGGTCCTTGATCACCTTAAACCAAATAGGGTGAATACATTTCATCTAAATACAACAGACAATAGCACATATCTAAGCATGAGTCAACATAAGAAGATATTATGAAAGTTTATTTGTGTTGTATTCACCCTGTTTCGTTCAAGTTGATGAGGGAAAATAGTTTATATGTGTAAAAATAAAATACATTTCATATTACTGATTTACTGGTAGTCACGAAACTCTACTTTAATACGAAAATAAGGAAATAGTTGCCACCAAATCCACTTCCGGTTCATGAGTTAATTTCACTCAACTGCAAGCATGCAAAGTAAGTTTAAGACATGCTTATTAAGATCGCAAGGAAAGGTGTTTAAAAAAATGAATACGCTTGAAGCTGGCAACCTTTTCTCTTGGTTTAGTTTATTCTTGTGCTGTTTCGTAAAGCATGATACAGACGGTGAACCGAGGAGTCACTTCACAGCAATCCTCCTTCGGTTTTTGGTGAGAACATTTCACGAATTCCTTCCGACCAACATTTCCTTCGAAATGTAAATTCATGTCATAATAATTGAAGATATAAAGACCAAGATGTTGTAGCCGCTGGTATGGTCGCAGTCTCCTTTCCATTTATAGAAATGGGTTGGCCTCATTGTCGCAACTTGGTCTTGTTGTCAGGGCGACTTAGTAGAACGCATCTAGTCCGAAGTCGTCTGCCATAGTAATTGTCATGATTCCATTGTCTGAGGCTGGGAATCATGACAACTACTATGGCAGACGACCTTGAACTAAATGAGTTCTACTAAGTTGCCCTGACAACAAGACCAAGTTGCGACAACGAGGTCAACCCATTTTTTGTCACAATAGTTTAGATATTCTGCTCAGACTCCTTAGTCGGTTGGGATATTTGCACAGTTGGGTGTCTCAGAATTACGGAATCTGGGCTGACTGTGGCCTGAATCGTTGTAAAAATGCAAGATGACGATTTAGTATTTCTGGCTCCTAAACTAGGAAAGAGAAACAAGAAACGAATGCATTCTTCTCTCCTTAAATAAAGCGGCTTGTAAATGCGATCACTTTTCACTTAAGTTAATGCATGTGGCAGCGTTTGAAAGAATCCATTATTATTAACATGCCATTGGAAGTGATCTCAACAATGAGCGGCGCTTAAGTTTTTTTTATGTTACATCAACAACTTCACCTTTAGCAACCTAGACTGACCCCAAAACAAACTTTTTGTTGATTATCGCCAGTTTCGGATGGATTTGTTGAATATGTAAGGGTGAATTGAACAAGAAGTTACTGTGATAGCCTCGAAACCTACTCGCATCGAAGACCAGGTTTCTGCCCCATAAGAGCCTAAAGTTCGTTTCCCTCAGGTTGGAGGACAGTTTTGCCCTAATTCATCTTCTCATCAGCATCCCAACTGCAACAGGACTTTTTGTCTGTATGTTGGCCCAAACGTCAATGCTTCGACCGCAAGACCACATGGACCCAGTCTTGTTTATCAAGTTATCATGTCATGGAGACTTTTTATTGTTAGCATTTCATATCATGTACATACAGACAGTAACTGGTTCACTATGAATCTCTTCACATCTCAATGTTGAGCTGACTTTCATTTTGTGTCAAACTGTGTAAGGAAGTGCTTTGTAGACCAATCTCACTGGAACGTTTAGATTGAGCCAGTTCTCGACATACCACTTTTCGGTTCCGGTACAAGTGTGCTAAATCTACATTTTTCATACCAATTGGTAGACATCATAGCTGGAATGCACCCATGACCTTTTGTAGGCTTGAAGTTATCATAAGAGAGAGATCAGGCTCTAAGGCTGTCTAAAAGATGAATTGGCAGACAACATGACATCAGATATGAAGAAAGGTTGGGTTTTCAACGCGCCCTTACTGAA